AAATGTATGATGATACTTGGAATCAAACTTGAGATTTGGCACCATCTCCCAAAGAGATTTCCAACTATTTGGACAAAACACTGGTAGCTATGACAGTTTCTGTTGGAAGTGAAGACAATATGTGTAGAAGCAAAGCTTCAGGCAACTCACTAATCCTATCCTCCTTATTTACAATATCTCCATTTCTCAAACCTTCACCACCGATTTTGCTGTTTAAAAGGAAAAATCAAAATAATCAAAGATAAAGATTTTTTGGGTAAGTAGAAATTAAGGTCGGAGCTTACAACTAAGAAAACCTAGAAAGGGATTCGGAGAAAAACATAAACGAAACAAAGAGACATACCGTTGTTGTTCCATTATCGTTAAACAGAGACAACAATTTTGCTACAAATCCTTGAGATTACGAACGCTCCAAACTCAAATGCAAACGCAGCCGATCACACGAATCCTGCTAATGCTTAGATATGATAATGGTGACGAGATTCAGCTTCAAAATTATTCACTTGTGCGTAGAAAGAATCACCTAGATACAAAACCCTAACAGAATGACAACAGTGATCAAATTCATAGAGATTCTGGAGAAGAAAGAAGACAACGGAATCAACACGTGAGAAAATTCGAGACGGAGCGTTTTTCCTATCAAACCAAATCCAAAACAAAAAACATTCACAAGCCCAAAAAAAATTTATTATGTTTGTTTGCTTCCGGCCCAGGCCCAATAAGATAAATAGTTAAACTGAGTTTAGGTCTGAAATCGAAACAGCTCTCATAGCTTCTTCTCAAGTTTCTTCAATTGTTGTTACCCTTCTCCCAAATTCACGACTTTCTTCTGGGTTCGTCGGAAAACTTGAGATTATATCTGTTGTTTTGTTGCGGTTGTAGGAGACTCCGGTCAATTGACATGGGTTTGTTGTTGTGTTCCTTGAGTTGAGTTTTAAGAGGGTTTCTAATCAGAGCTTGAAGAAGAAGAATTGTAGCTTAGTTACGTTTGGGCATTGCAACTTTCTCTTCTCACTCCTTAAATTCAGGTGCTTACTACTTCTCTCATATCACTTGTGCGTTCGGATTCGATTTGGGTTTGTTTGTTTAGTGTTTGTTTTGTGACTGGTTTAATACTTGTTGTAATCTGTGATCATAGAAAAGCATTTGGAGAATGCACTTTGCATCTTTCTCTTTTTGGACAAAGTTGTTGTGGATCCGTTTCTTCTTGTGAACTTGTTACTTTAGCAGAATTTTGGGTTTTATGGGTTTGTGAGCAAAATTGGCTTACTTTAGAGATTAGTATAGATATGAAGGAAGAAGATATCTGTGTAAAATATTGAACATCGTTAGTATAGAAATGAGATTAGTATCATCAACGTTAGTATAGATATGAGATGGATTAGTATCATGAACGTTAGTATAGATATTCTTTAATCATGTGATATGTTTAGTTTCTCTCTGCAAATATTCAAGCAGATATCTGTGTCTTCTTTTCTAAGTTTTTTTTTTTTGGTAACAATTCTTTTGCAAGTTCCTGTGTCTTCTTTTACTCTAATTAGCAAAGTTACTCTTGAATGTGGATTTATGGCTCTTGAATGTTTCTTAGAGCATTTTGATGTTTTGGCCAATGTTTCAAAGGTAGGTTCTTTACTTACATTGGCTTGTGTCTATTACAATCCAAGTTTGTGGATTTGTGTATGGTTTCTTAGTGATTTGAGTAGATTCTGATGTTGTGTTTTGATTGGCAATTGCTGTGGGTGTTGCCAGTTTTATTTGGTTTAAAAATGGTTTCTGGTACTTGTTTTGTTTGCAGTGGAAGAAGAAGCGTATGAGGAGGCTTAAGAGGAAGAAACGAAAGATGAGACATCGATCCAAGAAACTATTTTTTTTCTAATTTCCTCTCGTCTCCGTTACGGGCGTTAACGCCGTCAACGACGGCGTTATTAGTTTTTGGGAAAATTCTTGAAAAAAAAACCAAGTTATTTAATTTTGCCAGAAAACTACCCGAATTATTTGTTCGTTGTCAGAAAAATACAAAAAGATACAATAAGATTAGTCGATTTTCAAATTTCTCAATTAGATTTGTTTTTGGATCTATTTAGACTTTACAAATTTTGGGACATCATCAACAATGGAACTCTAAATTTCATAAGAGTCCCAAAAACCTTAGTAGATTTTCAAAAATTCTCTACATAAATCGTAAAAAAAAAACTCAAATCAAGCAAAATCCACCAAAATTGAAGCTAAAGCTAGCTTAATCAAACCAACTCAACGCTTAAAAAACGACTAATCTAATTGTGTTTTTTGTTCTAGTTAGAAAATTGGGGAATCAAGTAATGTAATTGTGACTTTTGTTCTAATTGGAAAATTGAAAAATCAATTATTCTAATAGTAGTGAGAACTTGTATGAAGTTCAAGAGAACACATAAAGTTATGAGGTATAACCATCTTACATTGTTAATGAAATAAAAGAATAGGAGAAAAATGTTGATCTGTGTATTTTTTTGGCAACAAAAAAATAATTCAAATATTTTTCTGGCAAAATTAAATAACTTAGGTTTTTTTAAGGAATTTTTCCAAAAATAGTTACGGCGTCAACGACGGCGGTAACTGCCGTAACGGCGACGAAAGGAAATTGGAAGAAAAAAATAGTTCTTGTTTGTTTTGTCAGTATTAAATTAGTTTGAGTTTTTTTTCGGCATCGAAAAAAGCTTAGATTTTTTTCTGGTAAATATTGAATAGTTGAAGTTTTTTTTGGGAATTTTCCTAAAAATAATTTAAAAGTTGTTGAGAGGTAGGAGTGCCAAAATGGATTAATGGATCAATCCAAACCAATCCAATCCATGGATCTAAAACCATGTATATAGGAGAACTTTTAAGAGTATCATAAGCCCATTTATTATTTTTAAATGGACCAAACATGTTTTATGGATATTGGGTATCATGTGACGTGTCGGGTCATGAATGGAGCCGGAAAATTCTTTTGCCGACAGGAGAGAAAAAAAAATCATTTACTCTCTCTCGATTTTTTTTCTCCTCTCTCACGGCGATTTGCCGATTTCTCTTCAATTTTTCTCAGCTCCGGCCGGTACGACGTAGATCTCCGTCGATCTAGAACATGCAGATGCTTCAGGTCTCCTAGTCCCGTCGTCATCTGTCGCCGTGGAGCTTCCGTCGGCGAAGTAGAGATGTCGGTTGAAGAGATCTGTGTTGAAGACAAGTTTTTTTCTGATTTCGTTTCCTTCTGTATACATCTAGGTATAGGGTTTGTGTAGATTTCTTTCCCTTCTCTTGGTTTGTGATTAGGGTTTCTGGAAATTTGATTTCACAAATGTAGGGTTTGTGTTTTGTTCTTTGATTTGGAGCTAATTAGATCGATTTTGATTTTTGATTTTGGTTTTGACAAGTTGGTGTTTCATCGATCATCATCACCAAAATCACAGGTGAGAGGATCAACAAATATAGAAAAGAAATTATTCTCAGTGTAATGATAGACTTGTGAGAGAAGCTTGAATGCACCTGACATTCATTGTGGATGGCTTCTACCTGAATTTGCTGGACTGGGGTGTCTTAGCCATAGCGTTGGGCCACACTCTTTACTTATGGGATGCTTCCACTGGTGTGACCATTGATGAGGAAAAGGGACCTTTCAACTGGGCACCTGATGGTCGTCATGTCCACCTATGGGATTCTGCTTCCAACCGTAATCAAGTAATTACTAATCCCTCTCTTTTATGGTTAGATAAAGTGTATCTCATGTTTTGTGGTGTCTTAACCTCATGTGTTTTATACTCATTATAGAATTCTATTTACAGCTGAGAACATTGAAGAGTAGGATCACTGGGATGTTCTTACTACTGGAGGAATAAATGGACTGATCATTAACAATGATGTGAGGATTGTGGAGACTTACAGGCAGGGCCGGCCCAGACCTAAAGCCCAGCAAGCAGATGCTTTAGGCATCAAATTTTATATGTATTTTAAAGGGCATCAAAATTACAAAAGTGTCTTGTAGTCTAGTGGTATTTAGGACACTTAAATATAGTTGGTCGAGGGTTCGATCCCTGGCAACCATAAATTTTAACATTTTTTTATTTTTAGTTGTTGTAAATTGGCATCAAATTTGGTTGGGCTTTAGGCATCATGAATCTTTGGGCCGGCCCTGTTTACTGGGGTCACACTCAAGAGGTTTGTGGTCTCAAGTGGTCAGGATCTGGTTACACATATGGGATCCTTCTGTTGCTAGCTCAAACTCAACTACGCAATGGCTGCACATGCTTGAGGAATATACATCTAATGTGAAAGCTCTTGCGTGGTGGTGGTGGAGGAGATACTATTTTCTCCATTCTTATTTTTGTTTTTGTTTCCTTTTTTTTTTTTAAAGATTAGTTTAAATTTTAAATTAGTTTTAAAAAATTTGTTGCTTGCTGTTGGCAGTTTTGTTTGGAAGATGATCACACAATATGTTCTGTAATGGGAGAATTTGACTTAGAAAAAGAAAAAAACTCTTGACTGGTGAACTTTTGGACCATGTATCGTTTGTTAAAAGAACTTTTTTTTTGTAATCGAATGCAAAGGCCAAAGAGTACAATGAGTTATATCAGCTTGCAAACTCTAGTGTAGTATCTACCTATAATACCTTTTACACTACGTCTACGAGTATTGTAGCAAATTGAGAAAGTAGTTAGTTACCGAGTCTATGGCATCAAAAGGCTTGATGATACATGCGCAACATTTTTCAACATTATTGGTAATTTTTTTATTTAGGTTTTTAAGTTTGCTTTCGATTTGGAAATTTCTTGAAAGGATTATCCACAGCTTCAGGTTTGGTGGATCCTTTATGTATCTGTTATATAACTTTAATTTGCTAGAATTATCGTCTGATACTTCAAATACTTTGTGTGTGGGTTCAGTTTGAGGCTGCTGACAAACATTGCTTATGGGACTTCAGAGAATACAAAGGTGGTCATTGGCCAAGGTAATTGACTACAAGCGGCTAAATTATTTTTATCATCATGTTTTTTTTCAGTTTTTTTGAATTTTATGTTTTATTTTGCTTAAGTATACTCTACGTTTTTTTTGTAATATTACCTTTTGTAATCATATGTTTTAATATATTAATTTTTGATTTTGCAAATTTTTTTTTATGATACTTAAACCGGTCTCACCAATGCAAACATATTTCGTAGGAGTATCATAAAAAATCTCAAATAATAAACAAACATTATAAATAATACTAAAAAATTCCTAATGATATTATATGAGTATCACCCATATACATGCTCTAATGAATTGGAAATTTGGATCTTAATGGATTAAATGGATTAGTGAGTTTAATGAATTGGATTGAAATGGTTAATATTATAATGAATTAGTGGATTACTCATAACCAAACCAACAAAAATTAAATAATTTAATTCAGATGTATAAACCAAATATAACCGAAACAAATGTCTAAACCGATTTAATAAACCGAAACAAAACCTAATTTCTCACTTTCTCACAATCGATCTCGCTCTCGCTCTCTCTCTCTCAGCCTCCAATTTCACCATCGTCGCTTAGAGAATTTCTCCTTCAAAGCCCCAAAACCAATTCCAACGACCTCTCTTTTCAGATTCGACGGTGCGTTCCTGTCAATCTTGCCGGACGGTGACCACCATCTTACACTCCCGGCTAGGTAGGATCTACTTTATTCTCCGATTAGGAAAATCTCCGGTGAAATTTGTTGAGATTATCATGTGATTATGCTTTCTTCGATTCTACTGTTTTTGGGTTTTGCTTTATTTACATTCTCTGTCACTAAGGAGCTCAATTTTAGGATTAACCCATAACAATTTGAAGATGAATCTCTCTTTGCTGTTTCTGTTCCTTTGCTTTGTGGCTGCTTGTAAGAGAGTCTACTTGTGAAATTTTAGTCATTTCTTACATTTTGAACTTGGTTCTTCATGTTCTGCATCAAATCGTTGCTCTTTGAGCTTGGTTTTGGGTTTTATGGGTTTGTGAGCAAAATTGGCTTACTTTAGAGATTAGTATAGATATGAAGGAAGAAGATATCTGTGTAAAATATTGAACGTCGTTAGTATAGAAATGAGATTAGTATCATGAACGTTAGTATAGATATGAGATGGATTAGTATCATGAACGTTAGTATAGATATTCTTTAATCATGTGATATGTTTGGTTTCTCTCTGCAAATATTCAAGCAGATATCTGTGTCTTCTTTTCTAAGTTTTTTTTTTTTTGGTAACAATTCTTTTGCAAGTTCCTGTGTCTTCTTTTATTATAATTTGTTTGCTATACTTTGTAGCATTATTTGGCTTGTTTTTTTTTTCTTTCTCTTATGTGTACAGTTTCTCTTCATTTAATTTGGTTAGGAGTAGAGGAATGTTATGTTAGTTATCTTCTTTATGGTGCTGGTGGACATTGGACTTTGAAACTGCTGAATACGATGAGCTACTGGAATTAGCGCAGATGTTCAAAGTCTTTCACATTTGAGACTGTTATATTGATGTTTGGAAGGTGTATATTTATGTTTATGGAACTTGATGCTGTGTTGTTTGAAAGTTTCCATTTTTCGTTCTTAATCCATTACAAGTGATTAAAAAACTATGATTTGTTTGCTTACGTTAGGGACTTTGGCCAATATTCTGATTCTTTGTGTTACTATACTCTGCATTGGTTTGCATTTTGTGTCCGTTCAGATTGTTCTTTGGAATAAACCTTTTTTTATCATGTTCTCTTGGTGCTGGATAGTTTATTTATATCCTCTTTGCTCTTGGTGCATGTTCACCATTTAGAGCTGTAGAGTAATCGTTTTAAAGCTCGTAAACCCTAGACTTGGATACACTTCAGTCTAGCCGCGAAGAAGCTTTTCTCTCTGTGAGTTTTCGTTCCTCTCTACTTGTCGTCTCTCTGATTCTCTTCGCTGCTATCTCGTTTGATTATAATTAGGGTTCTTGTGTGTTTTCTCTCATCGTGTGTTCTGCTGCTAGCTCCTGGAATATTCTAAGTTGGTTGTTTTGTTCATTTCTAGTTTTATTGATCTGATATAAAGCGTTTTTTAGAGTCCGTTGATTTGTTGTTTGTTATGCTTTAGTGATTTGTTGAAAGTATCGTCTTTGGAATGAGTATGATTAGAGTTTCGTTGATGAAACTTGTCGTTTATTTAATTGATGTTGATAATATCTTTAACTTGGTTTTTGGTGTGAATTAATTATGAAGTCTTCTATGGTCATCTCATGTACATACCCATTAAATTTCTCAAAGGACATTTCGTTACGTTGATGAAAATAAGTCAAATCACTAATCATTTTTTCTTGGTCAAACCATGCATTCAACTCATTCATTTTTATTCCCAATTATCAGATACAAGGCCCTAAAATAATATCCTCTCATAAGATAACCTAAACTCGATTAGCAAACACATCTATACCGGCCAAAACTCCTGTCAAGCTCAGCAGAGTCTTCTGCTTCGACGGTGATACGATTGAAACCAGACTATCAGTCATGGCTATGTCTGAGTTTGGCTTTGTCTATGCCGTCCATATCATCACTGTCCAATTCGGCTCCGTCGTATCGGTAAAAT